GATAAATGACAACATATCAAAAAAAATCTATTAAAAAATAAACTAATTAATTTTAATTTTTAAAAAAATATTTAAAATTTTTTTTAAATTATATAAAGTCCTTACAAATAACAATGATTAATAGCAATAAAAGATTAAATCCAAAATTGTACAATGCATTTATTATTAGTTTTTTAAAATTTATATTTATATTTATATTTTATTTTTATATTTTAGATCAGTCAAAATTCAATCAGCAATTGAATAAAATAATAATAATTATTATTGTTTTATTTTATTGTTTTTTGAAAAGACTTTATTGTAATTATAGTTTTTTTTTTTTTTTTTTTGAAAAAACCCCACTGTTTTTACAAAAAAAACAATACTTTGAATGAACCACATTCCCCATTTTTTTATTTTTTTTTAAAGAAACTCAATTAGTACTATTTGGAATTTTTAAAACAATTATCGGGCAAATTATTAATATTTTATAAAAATTATCTTGTAAAATAAATATGATTTTTTTTTTAAAAAACTATTTATAAAAAAAAAATAAAAGTTGTTTTATTTTTAGAAATAAATAAAAAGAAAAATAACAAAAAGAGGAAATGACAATTTTAAGTATGTATTTTATATTTAGTTTTATTTATAAAATTACAAAAAATTAAAATTAAAATTTATATTAATTATTTAAAAAAAAAAAAAAAGAATCAATTTCAAATTTGGGAATAGAAAAAATGAATAGGAATATTTTTAAAAATCAATATATAATCAATATTAACGACAATATGAATATCGATATTCAAAATATGAACGAAACCAATGGAAAAAGATGTATTTTCAATCCTCGAAGATATCTCACTTTTTGGACATTTTAAAAAAAAAAATTTCCAATAAAATATAAAATAAAATAAAATAAATAAAATAAAATAAAATAAATTACTTTTTTTTTTTTAACCACCAACAATCTCTTTCATAAAAAAAAAAAAAAGTTTTTTTAATTTTTTTCAAAAAACAAAAAAAAAACATAAAATTTTAAAACAAAATAAAATAAACGTCATAGTTATATAGAAAATAAATTGTATTTTAGTAAATAATAATAAATAATAAAAAAAACCATAACAAAACTATAAATGAAAAATAATAAGTAAATTGTAATTTTTTTTTTTTGAAAAAAAAAAAAGTAATCATAAAAAGTAATCAGTAAAAAACAATAATACCAAAAAAAAAAAGCAATGGAATTAATAAATAACAATCCGATAAAAAAAATAAAAACTCAGCATAATAATGATAATAGTGTAATAGACAAAGAGCAACTATTTTTTAAAATAATAAGGAATAGGTATTTATTCAAAAAGATATTGGGGTATTTAAAGAGGGACCAGTTTGCATTAGAGTTCTACAGCGTCATAGATATCAATTGGTTATTAAAAAACAACTACCCAGGTGTATTAAAGGACAAGGTGAAGCAGGGTCATTATCTAATAACGAGCGATGGCGCAATTCCACATACAAATGATACAACTATATTTTATGACTCTTTCTTTATAATATTTGAATACATAAAAAGCGAGCAAGATAAAGATTTTTATAGGTCTTTATTTAACAACTACCCAATGCATTTCAAGATGGAAACTCAAGAGCAACGAGATCGTTTATTTGAATATACAATTAAAAAAGGATGTGTTGGTGCAGTAATATGTTTGGTAGAATATTTTGGTTTTCAGGTTACTCAGGAACATTTAGATGCGGCAATTTTAATAAATACAAACTACGAAGAGGAACAAAAAAAGAATTTTGGCGAATGGATATCACAGCAAATATTTATAGGTGAAGAAATATTACCATTAATACCAACTATACATTATAATCAAGATTACAAAAATCTAGCAACTACAGTATTCAAAATTATAAACTACTTTATGCATCGTTTGCAACAGGTTCCACTACATTTAAATTTAAAGAATTTTTTTAAGACGTGTCCATTTGACTTAAACTTATCAGAACTTTTTGAAGCATGTTTAGCAATCGATTTTTTATTTCAAAAAGGTATATTTAATAATTATAATTATTATAATAATGATTTAAATAATAATAACAATAATAATAGCGGCGGCAATTATAATAATAATGATAGCGATATAAATAATAATAACAATAGTAATGAATCAATACAAATTAATAATAGTTTAATAAAATCAGAATTCGAAATTAGAAAGTGGTTATTAGAATTTAACGATAAACAATTAAAAACCAAGGTCGAATTATTGGGTAACAAGAATGAAAAAATTCAAGCATTGGTTCAAATGTATATGACCGTTAGATGTAAACCACATAAATGTTTAAGATATTATTTGATGTTTGATAATGCATCATTTGATATAAATGTATTTCCAACACTTGGAAGCAGGATTTATTTATCATTTTCATTTGACTATGGATGTAATGTATTACTTAGAGGTTGGTTTGACGGTGGCTCCTCCAATTGCTACGATGTATCAGAGATTTATGTTAGTCTGTACTTTCATTATAGAGATAGAGAACACGAAGTGTGTCATCTATTAGAATACCAACCATTTCTTTTTAGGCAGTGTGTCAGCAAAGATATCAAAGAGAAATTTATAAAAGATGTTTGTTCAGATATACTTAATCCAAATATAAGTAAATCAAAGAAATTAGAGCCATTATTTTTCTTTAGTTTGGTTGTAGATTATGACGATTTAGAGTTGGTAAAATTAGCATTCAGGTATTTGGCCCCTTATTTAAAGAATCCATTGTGTGGTAGCGAATATAGAAATCCATACTCTCACTTCTCATTCAATGTCTATAGATATATTAGATCGGTACCAGTTTTAACATTCCTATACTATCATTTAAATGAAGAAATGATTAGAGATCAAAGCTTTATTACATCATGTCGTTTAGAGGTTTGGTATCTTTATGGGCGCTTAGAGTTACTAAAAGCTTATGAAGAGTTGACAAACTATAAAGGTGGTCCAGATTTTGAATTCTCGCATTCCTCATGCCCAAGAATTTCGTTCCGTGGTTTCGCTTTAAATCGTTACTTTATCCATGTAGTCCAACATATCGTATCAAAACCAGATCTATATAACTTTGACTCTCTGGTACTAGACTGTTTAAAATACTACCCAGAAGCAAGAAAATTTTATACTACAGATTTAGCCTACTTGATAGAAAATACAGACTTTGAATATAGACCATTTCAAATTAGTTGCAGTATTTTTGGAAGTTGTAATCCTCAAAGTAGCGGTGGCAATTGCTGTTTTTCATCAACTAACAGAATTCGTTTATTTCATTGGATTTTAAAAGAGAAACTTCACGATATTGCAATTGGTAGATGTGCCTTATTTGCTCAAGAACTAAACGAAATGAAATATTTAACTGGTAGAATCGATGAACTTATATTTAGCAATAACACTGTTGGTTTTGTTGGCAATCCATTTTGTAAACAAATATTTCAAAGAATTGGTGAACGTGGTGATGTAAAAACCCTCAGCGTTATAATGGAAACTTTTTTTTCAACTCTTCAACAATCTTTATCATTATCATTCACTGCTAAAACAAATTTATACGAATTATTAAAATATGCAGCTGAATTTGGTAGAATAAATATATTTCAATTTTTATATAAAAATAATTATTCATTTGTATTATTACCACAACAACAACAACAACAACCACAACAACAACAACACCAAACTCAAAATGTTCAAAACTTAATTCAAGATAATAATGATAATAATGATAATGATATTAATAATAATGATATTAATAATAATGATAATAATATTGATAATAATATAAATAATAATAGTATAAATAATAGTATAAATAATAGCAATCAAAATGAAGGTATATATGGATTATTTTCACAAAGCTTATTAAATGTAATTTTTGCAAAAGTAATAGAAAAAGATTATATTGAACTATATTTACTATTAGTAAATACTTTTAATTTTAAAATCAGTAATGAACAATTTCAATTTCATTCCGGATCAAGTATTTCAATATTAAATAATGTAATTGTAAATAATAATAATATAAATAACAATAATAATAATTAAAAATATTTAATTATTAAAAATATTAAATAATAAATAATAAAAAATTTACTTTTTTTATTTTTGTAAATAAATAACACTTTTTTTTTTTTTTTTTTTTTTTAAATATATAAATAATTTGATTATTTAAATATTTAGTTAATATAATTTTTTATTAAAAACTAATTATTATTTTTATCAATAAAATTAAGTCCTAAAAAGGATTTATTAATTTTATATCATTACAAATAACTATTGTTAAAGATATATTTAAAAAATAAAAAAAAAGGGGTTTAAATTATTATTCCTTTTAAAAAAAACTGCTCTCTGTTTTTTTTTTAAAGATAATTTAAATTATTGATATATGAGTGTTTTTTGATTATGTTTATGATTTGATTATGATTATAATTGGGTGATTTAAAAAGATTACTATTATACAAATGTTTTGGTTTGATGATTTATTTAAAAATTATTGTTTGGTTCTACCTCAATAATTTTTGGGTTCTCTAAAATAGTGGAGGTGTTCATTGATCTGGGTTTATCGGATTGACCAATTACATCACCAATGATCCAGGCTGGTTGTTTATCGATTTCTTCAATTTCTTTACAGAATGCTTCGGCTTTATCGCGTGGTAAACAAATTAAGAGACCACCAGAGGTTTCGGCAGATGTGCCTTGAAGTAATTTAAATGGATGGTTAAGGTGATCTTCGAGTTTTTTCATATGTTTAATAATTGGGAGTGTATGAATTTCGAAACGAATTGAAGCATCTTGATTACCAGCCAAGTTTGTACTGTGTCCTAAAATACCAAAACCAGTAACATCGGTAGCAGCATGGGCTCCATATTTTTTCATTAATCTAGCACCTGTACGATTTAAACGAGCCATTGATTTGGTGGCAAATTCGAATACCTCTTCACATTCTTGTTCGTTTGTAATGGATTCAATCTTTCTCCAACGGTCTTCATTTCTTAGCCATTGATGGAAATTTACACATACTTGAGTACCCAATGGTTTGGTTAATACCAATACATCGCCATCTACAGCACCAACCGGTTTAATAAATTCGCTAGTCTTTAAAATTGAAGTTGCTACACCACCGATAATTGGCCATGGGTTTTTAACAGTTTGGCCACCACTAACTTTAGTACCTGCCAATGTTGCTTGATCATTAAAACCTTGAATTAATAATTTTGAACTCCACTGTCTTTGTTCCGGTGTCATATCGACCGAGCATGCTAACAACATTAACATATTGTCACACTCCTCGATACCAAATGAATATAAATCTGATAAAACATTAGCACATGCAATTTTGCCTTGGAAATATGGGTCATCAACTAATGGAAAGAAAAACTAAAAAATTATTTATGTTAGAAATATATTATATATTTGTTTGTAATTTTTATTATAACTATATGATTTAATATATCTTACATCTGTAGTAGTAATCATAACAATATCTGGGAATTTTGTTTGGGTAATTGAACAATCATAACCAATTCCTTCACCGATACCCTCAAGAAGGGAGAGCAATTCCTTCTGGGGTACTTTGCATCCTCACCCTTTTAAACGAGTGTAATCTGTTAACCTACATAATAACTCTTCTTTTTTACTCATTTCTTTTTTTGTGTATATTTAGAAATAAAAAAAAAATAGAAAAAAAAGAAAAAAAAAAAAATTTTAAATAAAAATAAATTTAATTAAAAAAAAAATAAAATTAATAAAAAAAAAAGATTTTTTTAATTTTTTTTAAACATTTTTTATCCAAATAAATTATTTACAGTCATAATTTATAATAATAAAAACAATGGATGAAACAATAAACACAACACTATTTGTTGAAGAATCACAGTTTTGGAAAGTATTCCATAACAAATACTTATTTAACTATATTATAAATTCAATACCACTTTTATCAAACGACCACTTTGACATTACTAATTACTACCCACGCACCCACAAAACCAAGTTTAAAGTAAAAATCAGTATTATATGAACATGTGTTGATATAATACCACAATACTAATCTAGATTTGTTTTATATAGGATTTATTAAATTTGGATTGTTTTTTTGGAAATAAATATAATATAGAGTCCTCAATGGAATTATTAAAATTAAAAATTAAACATAATGAAGATTTTCAAATTTCCACCGAAGGATTACGTTTATTAATTAAGGAATGTAAAGATGTAGAAGTTCTCGATTATTTTTTTCAAAGATACCATGAATACTTTATACAAATAGATACATTTCAAACCTCAACTACAAACAAAATAGCATTCGATTTCTTTTATAGCAAAATTCAAAACGACCCAAAACTTTTATATGGACCATTGCCAATTAACCAATCCACAATAGAATCTGTTTTACAAAATGCTGAAGTTTACTATATCGAAAAAATTTTAAGTATGGCCCCGTATATAGATCAATCCATTAAAAATTTTGCAATCAAAACTGCCTTTTTAAATAAAAATGCTCACGAAGTTGTTAAATTTTTACTTTCAAATCCACAATACTGTAGTTTATAATTAACAAAAAATAAATAATAAAATAAATAATAAAATAGTTTACTAAATTTTTTAAATGAAAAACCTTTGTAACCATTTTTTTTTTTTTTTTTTTTTAAATTCTAAAAAAAACCTTTATAAAATTGAATTTGACAATGGATACAATCATTTTGGTTTAAAAAATAATAACTATTAAATAAAATAAATAAATAAAAAAATAAAAAAAATTAATTCTATGAATTAAAAATTAAATTCAAAAAAAAAACTTTGAGGAACATATGGAACCTTGCTTACAAAAAAAACTTTTTTTTTTTTTTTTTTGGGGGATTTATTTCATTTTTGATTTTTTGATTTTCTTACTATGGAAAATAGTTTATGTAAAAACCCTATGCAACTATACCTATTATATTTTATTAAAAAGATATTTTAATTTTTTTTTTTTTTTTTTTCGAAATATATATTTAATTTTAAAAAAATCAAAATCAAAATTAAAAAAAAAAAAAAAACAAAAAAAAAAAAAAAAAAAATATATATACGAAAAAAAATTAGTAATTTTTTTTTTGCCAAACCCAAACAAAAGACAAACCATCATTCAAAAAAAAGCTATAGAAGGTTAAAATAAGAAAAAAAAAAAAAAAAAGGAAAAAAGGAAAATAGGAAAATATTATGTCAAATACAAAAACCAAGCTTTTGGAGGTTATAAAAGGTATTCAAGAGAATAGGATCATGGAGGTTTTTGAAAAGTATTATCACGATGATGTTATTATGTATGAAAAGAGAGACTCAACCAATCGTGTGGGAAAAGAAGCAAACCGAATATCAGAACAAGTTTTTGCAGATAATGTGATTATTAAAGAAGCAAAAATTTTAAAACTATTGGTAGATGGAAATAACTCTGCCTACCAAATGTTTATGGATTTTTCGTATGGTATACACCATGTCCAGAGAACTCAGTGGGCATTTCAAACTTGGGTAGATGGAAAAATTATAAAAGAGGAATTTTTTTAAAAAACCACCACAAATTATTATTTATATTATATTTTATAAAAATAATATACATTAACTAATTAATATTTTTTAAATAAATAGCAACTCTTTATTTTTACCAAATAATTTAAAATAATTGGATAAAAATCAAACTAGATAAAAAAAAACAGGTCTTGTTCTAAATGGATTTTAGATTTTTTTAAAACATTTATTTATTTTTGGTGTAGATTTCTAAAATAAAACTACTATTAGGATGAATACTCATTAGATAAAGATATTCAAGTGTACCAAAAAACACCTATATTATGAAAAAATATTAATAGAACATTTTTTTTAAAAAAAAAATTTAAATACCAATATCTGGTAATTTCACCCTGATACCCCCACACATTGTTATACCAATATATAATTTTATGGCAATTAAAAAATTAACAACCAAATTAATTTATAAATCAAAATATAATACTATATAAATTTTTTTTATTTTTAAAAAAATTTTTTTTTTTAAAAAAAAAAAAAAACTTTTTTTTAAAAAAGGGAAAAAAAAAAAAAAAAATTTTTTTTTTTTAAATGTTTGTTTTTTTAGGGGGGGGGAAAATATTTTTTAGCCAAAAATTTTTGTTTTTTTGGTTTTAAATTTAACCACCCACAAAGGGGGGAAACTTTTAAAAAAAAAATATTTTTTTTACCCCCTTTTTTTTTTTTTTTCAAAATTTTCAAATGGCCCCTTTTTCAAAAAAAAAAATTTTTTGGAAACAAATTTTTAAATTTTTAAAGAAAAAAGTTTTTTAGGGGGAAAAAAGGGAACCAAAAAAAAACTTTTAATTGGGGGGGAGAAAAAAAACCCCCCTTTTTTTTTTTTTAAAAAAAAAAAAAAAAAAAAAAAAAAAAAAAAAAAAAAAACTATTTTTTTAAAAAAATTAAAAATGAAGTTAATATATTTTTTTTTTATAATATATAATATTATAGCTTTAGCCAGTGCAGAAACAAAAGATTCCACATTTGACTACTACTTTTATAAAATACTTCCCAATGGTACCTATAAAAAATTGTTTATTTATTTTAAAAATATTTACTAATTTTATTGATTTTAAAAAAATTATAGGTGATGTTTATTTTAAAGATATTTTTAAAGCAAACTCATATGTATGCGAATCAAATTACTATACACCAATTGATCAAGGTGTTTTATCCAAAAACCAGTATACCCATATTATAGAAGGAGTTTTAGGTAATAAATTTGTTGGGTTCCCACCAAAAGAACAACCACATATTACAATCAATGCATTTTACTCACCAATGCCAATGGATGGAGTAGATCAATTTTCATTTAATATAACCGATATGGGAGAATTGAAAAAAGGATTAGGTTACTATTTATTTACAGGCAGAGCACTATTCCCATTTACTATTGGTCTATTCCAAGGTCCATATATCAACAGTTTATCAGGTTCTCAAATTTATAATATTAATTTATTAACCTTTACAAATGACTATGAAAAAAGAGTACCATATTTTGATAAAGACTTTTTCAAACAAGATAAAGGTTTAACAACTACTATTAACATCATCCCACAAGTAGATCCAAAGAATTTAAATGAATTTAGAAATGCTATATTTTCATATGCAAAAGACATGGAATGCTATTCACCACAACCTCCAGAATGTCCATATTCAAATTTTCCCAAAAGAATTAAAAATAAAAACACCAGATGTTTAAACTATGTAACCCCAAATGCCAATGATAATGGATGCTTCCCAGTATCTTTAGATTTTTGTTCCGCTCCACCAAAATGTACCCAAGGTTATGATTTAATTCCATTCTTCAACAATGGAAGTCTTTGTCCAACTTACTTGTGTGATTTTTCTAATAAATATTCTTTTTACTAAAGAGTAAATTAATAAAAAGTATTATTAAAAAAAAAAAATTTGTTTTCTTTGGATTTATATAATACTACACATATTTATTTATTTATTTTATATTATACTATATTATATTATAAATATATTATCATGAAATAATATACCTTGTAAAGTTTCATCTCTACATAATATTCCAATTTTTTCACTATTAAATAACTGTTCTTTTGCTAAATTTAAAGAGATTGATTGTATCTTTGATAAATCGAAAGCTGAGATTGGGCCATGATCTTTAATAATATTTAAAATTTCTTTGCCTACTTGTTGATCGTTCTCGTCCTTGGATTGTACTACTATTACACCACTATCAAATTTTCGTAAACGTAATGGTAAGTCTAATGATTCGAATAATAAGCATGCTCTATATAAATCATCTGGTGAAATTAATTCTATGCCTCTGGCTCTATTAAAAATACAATACAAATCTGATAATGTTATCATTCCATTATTACTATTACTACTGTTTGTGCTTTGCTTTAATATATTTTTATTTATTATCCACTCTGATAATTGTTTTGATAATTCTATATGATATTTTGATTTTGCTGACTTTCTATAATAACAATAAACGAAAAAAACATATTAGTATATATGAATAAAAAGATAAACTATAAACTCTTAACCTACTTTGTTACAGGACTTTCTATACCCATTTGCATTAAAAAAGATCTAAACTCTTCCTCTTCGCTTGTATCGCCAGTAGATGTTGCACTATTTGTTTTTTTATCCAATGTTATTTTTAATTTTTCTGATAGTGTAACCATGTCTTTTGCCTTTTCCATTAAAGCATTTAAATCTGAAAATGCCTCAGTTAATAGCTTATCATTTTCCTCGGTTTTTTTATTCATTTGCTTTAGAATACCTCCAATACCAGCATTAGATGTAAATCCATTATCATTTCCCCTTATACTATTAGTACTTGAAGTGTTTGGTTGATTAATAAAGTTTTGTAAATTTTGATTTGGTGTTGTTGGTGAAGCTGTTGGAGCTCCGTATATTGATGATCGTTGCTGAACTGATGCTTGGTATGATGGTGGAAACTGGTTATTAATATTTACATGTAAAGGAGGTGATGATGATTGGTGTTGTTGCATATGTAATGCATAGTTTGGTGGTGATTGATTTTGTTGATATTGTGGTATTTGTTGCTGTTGTTGTTGCAAATAAGATGGTTGATATTGTTGGTATGGATAATTATTTGCTGATGGTGAATTATTATTAATGCTATTTAACATATAAGATGGAAGCTGTGGTTGTTGTGGTGGTGGCATTGGCGATTGATATTGATTACCCCCGTATGGGCTATAGCTATTATTTTGTTGCATTTGATTCTGTGGTGGTTGATATTGTTGGTATTGGTTTGTTACGAATGGGTTTTGTTGTTGTTGTTGTTGTTGCTGTTGCTGGTGTTGCTGATAAGATGGTGGTGATGTCATATTTATATTTGATTTATTTTGCTGATCTTTTTGTTGTCTAAATTGTACCAAAGCACTTTGATATGCTTTAAAAAACTCATCTCTTTTACCTGCATGAAATGATAATCTAAATGATCTCTGTACTAATGTTATTAAAATTTTTGGGCTTGAGTTAATTTGAATAAATCCGTTATTGATTATTTCAACATTTAAGACAATTTGATGATGTAAAGACAATGCTATATCTCTAAGGTTACTCCATATAACTCTAGATGGTGTTAAAAAAACTACACCTGCCAGGTATTGACTTTTTTTATCCCTATAATATGATAAGTATTAATATTTAATTTATTGGTGATTTACTATTCCTATTAATAACATAACTTACCCATCATAAATTGTTACATTATCGACTCTAATAATTATATTTTCATTTGGTTGAAATTCTGGCTGTCCTCCTCTTATCGCTGTTGGTGTAAATAATTTTTCCATTGATCTTTAATATATATTTAATTTAAAAAATAAAATAAAAAAAAAGGAAAATTTAAAAAAAAAAAAAAATTTTAAAAAAAAAATGAAAATTAAAAAAAAAAAAAAAAAAATATAAAATAAAAGATTTTTAAAAGGAACTTAATTATAAAAATGAATCTATAATTTCCTCTTTTATTATTTTTTGTTCCTATTTAATTTGTGAACAGGTTAAACCACTATTTAGGACTTTATTCACCAAAATTATAAAATTTTCATTGTATGGGTGTATATGCACAAAATAATTTGTTTAGAAAAATCAAAAAAAATATACAAAATTTTCACTGAAAAGGTTTTTCTTTTTTTTTTTTTAATTTTTTTAGACGATACCAAGCGTTTAAAAAAATATGATTTTTTTAATTATTTTTTTTTTTTTTAAAATAGTTTTGGAATCATCACATATAAATAAATAATTGTTTTTTTGGTTACCAAAATCTTTAAATTCATTATTATAATAATACACTATTTTTTAAATTATTTTAATTTTTTTTCAAATTTGCAAATACACACATAAAATCTTTTTTTTTAATTATTTTTTTAATTTTATTTTTTATTTTTGTTTATATTTTTATTGTGTTAAATTTAACTTTATTCATATATATATATATACAAATAATAAAATTTTAAAATGCCAAAACCACAGCCCCTTTTAACATCAAAAGTTTATTTAAACGTTTATGATTTACATCAAAGTAAGTACAATTTAATAAAAATAGATTCAAATTCCAAAAAAAAACTAATTTTTTAAAAAAAAAAAAAAATAAAAAAAAAAGTTAATGGATTTGGTTATTATGTTGGTCTTGGTGCATTTCATACAGGTGTGGAAGTTAATACAGAGAATGGTGAAGATATAGAATATTGTTTTGGTGGTCGTATGTACCATAGCTATACCTTTATAATACAGAAATTATTCTAATATAATATATATTTTTTTATAAAAAAAAAAGATTCGTTTAGTTTTAGTGGAATGTTTGAAATCAAACCCAAAACAGCAACTGGTGTAAAGTTTAGAGAAAGTATATATATGGGAGAATTTAAAATGACATCAAAAGATTTTCAAGAATTAGTAGACGCTATAGCTGATGATTTTTCAGGTTTATCGTATCATCCACTAAAAAAGTAATTATTTATATTTTACATAGGTGTATATATATTTCTTTATTCTAATTATTGTTTTATTTTCAGAAATTGTAATACTTTTTCAGAGGAATTTATAAAGAGATTACTAAATAAAGATGTACCGGGATATATTAATAGATTAGCTCATATAGGCAATTATTTTTCATGTGTACTACCCTCAACATTTAATTTTATACCCACAGCACCAGAAAACAATAATAATAATCCAAATGTTGTAACCTCATTATCTGGTAGAAATAGTAGTAGCGATAAAGCACCACAACCAATAATAGCGCCAATAATAAATCGTTTTGATAGTAGTAATAAATTAAATTTTTATGGCTCAGATAATGAAGATAGTGAAATAGAAGACGAGGAAAAAAGAAAAAAGATTTTAGATGCTGCAAATAAAAGATATATGCAACAGGTTCCAACGTGTAGTGACTCTGAAGGTTCATCATCAACACCCTCTTCAAATGAAAACTCACCCTCAGTATCATCACCTTTAATGTAGTTAAATATATAGCAATCATATTTGAGTATACATAACGATATTGTTCACCTGTAAAAAGTAAAATTAATAAACACCCTTATTTATAGAACCCACATATACATATATGTAGATTATAACAAAAAAAAAAAAAAAAAAAAAAAAACTATATTTGCGTTAACAAAAAAAAAAAAAAAAAAAAAAAAACTAATATGAATTAATTTATTTTTAGCTATTGTTTGTCTATGTGGCATAGTGTGTGTGCGTGTGTGTATTAAATAAAATTTTATTTATTTTTTTTTATTTATATTTATTTTGCATAAAATTTAAAAAAAAAAAAAATTTTAATTAATGTTTTATTTTATTCAATTCTATTTTAAATATTTTTCTATATATATATACTATATTTAATTCAGAATTAAGTAATAACGAAAAAACATTTCTTATTATCACAATACCCAAAAATTTAAAAAAAAAAAAAAAAAATAATAAAATAATTTAATTTTATTTTAAATTTTATTTTTTTTTTCTATTTTTTTTTTTAAAAATTTTATTTTTTTTGATCCATTTTAATAATAATTTGTTTATACATATAAAATTTCCCACCCTGTTTTATTTTTTTACAATAAAGCTTTATTTTCTCATATTTTTTTATTTTAATGAACCAAATTTAAAAGTTTAATTTTATTATTATTATCAATTTTAATAATAATAGCAACAATAATAAAGATATCACCTTTTTTTTTGGTTTTTGTTTTTTTCAAATAATATTTGTATTAAATAATAAAATGATAATAAATATTATAAGGTCAACTCTTTACCTCTGTAAAGATATTTTTAAAATAAATAATACAAAAGTGTTTTTTATATTTTTAACATTTTTAGTATTTATAGTATCAAATAATAGTTTTAATAGTAATAATGTAGTATTAGCATATAATAATAATATATATAATAATAATAACTTTGTAAATTTTTTAGAATATAATAGTATCAGTAATTGTTCAAATATCAATAGTTTTAATGAATATAATATAAATTTTAATAATAATAATAATAATAAAATAAATAATAAAATAAATAACAAAAATTTTGTAAAAGAATATATTGTTATGTTTAAAAAATATATCGATCAAAAAGATCATCAAATTTTTTTAAATAACATTTTTAATAAAGTATCAACTAACATATTGGATAGTTTCAAATGGAAAATAATACCCAGAAATAATCCAGCATCAAAATATCCATCAGATTTTGCATTAGTAGAATTTACACTACCACCCCAAGAAGAAGAAAAAATTAAAAATATAGAAATTGATTCAATTATAAATTTATTAAAACAAGATTCAAATATTAAATATATATTCCCAGAAAGAAAAATTGAAGAATCAATGTTAAAGAAATGGCAAAATAATGGTGATAGTGGAAGTAGTAATAGTAACAGCTATGATGATAGTAGTAATAGTAATAGTGGTGATATAGATAAAGAAATAACAATAGAAGAATTAAATGAAATTTTAATTCGTGGTAAAATACATCAAGAAATTCCTGAATACGATACACAACAAGAGGATGAATTTAAATCATTAAATAGTAGAAACAAGACAATTAACCATTCAAGCAGAAAATTAGTATCCATTAGTGACAATATTCAAGTTACCGACTTATTTAATACTAAAAAATTATGGAGCGAGGGTTACTCTGGCAAAGGTGTCAAGGTGGCCATTTTCGATACTGGTTTATCTAAAGACCATCCACATTTCAAGAATATAGTAGAAATTACTGACTGGACAAGAGAAGAAAATAGTAACGACAATGTAGGTCATGGTACTTTTGTTGCTGGTATAATTGCTAGTGGTAGTGAAAAATGTTTAGGTTTTGCTCCAGATTCTGATATTCACATTTATCGTGTTTTCAACTCTCAAAAAGAATCTTTTACAAGTTGGTTTATTGATGCTTTTAATCATGCCATTTTAACAAAGATGGATGTTTTAAATCTATCAATTGGTGGCCCTGATTTTATGGATCGTCCATTTGTTGAAAAAGTTTGGGAAATGTCAGCAAATAATATTATTGTTGTCTCTGCAATTGGAAATGATGGTCCATTATATGGGTATGTTATTTTTATAAACTATAGGAGTAATAGTAATGATTTTAACAATCTTTTTATATTTTATTTAGTACATTAAATAATCCAGCTGATCAATCTGATGTTATTGGCGTTGGTGGTATTGATTATTCCGATACATTGGCATCATTTTCATCAAGAGGTATGACAACATGGGAAATACCTGAGGGATATGGTAGAGTTAAACCAGATTTAGTAGCCTATGGTAGCGGTGTTTATGGTTCATCTTTTAGAGGGGATGCATGTAAACCACTTTCAGGTACCAGTGTATCATCACCAGTAGTAGCTGGTGCCATTTCTCTATTAATTAGTTCAGCCAAAGATAAATCAATTATTAATCCCGCAAGTATGAAGCAAATTTTAATTGAATCAGCAGATAGGATTAAGGGTGCTGGCCTCTTTGAACAAGGAGGTGGTAAATTAAATATAATGGCAGCCAAGCAATTACTCGATAGTTACAAACCAAAAGTTTCGATATCACCATCACAAATTGATTTCCTTCCAACAACTTCTAATGGTAAAGAAACATGTGGCTATTTCTGGCCATATTGCACACAAAAACTTTATCATACCGGTTTACCAATTATCGTTAATGCAACCATTATTAATGGTGTTGGTGTAGCTAGTGAAATTACAAATGTTTATTGGAATGCATCCCGTAATGGTGACCATTTACAGGTATCGTTTTCATATCAATCAAATATTTGGCCATGGACAGGACACATTGGGGTTTTCTTTACTGTACCTGAAGAAAGTGCTACTTTTAATGGTGTAGCCGAGGGCAGTGTCGACATTACTATTTCAACACCGGGTAGTGCTGATCAAATTGTACGTTTACCAGTTCGTGCACAAATCGTACCAAAACCACCAAGAGAACGTAGAATCCTTTGGGACCAATTCCATAACCTTCGTTACCCAATCGGCTTTTTCCCAAGAGATGCATTAAAGATCAAAAATGAACCATTTGATTGGAATGGTGATCATCTTCATACAAACTTCCGTAAACTCTATAACAAGTTGGTTGAATTGGGATACTTTGTCGAAATTATTGGCTCACCACTAACCTGTTTTGACCCACAAAACTATGGTACTCTTTTTATAGTCGATCCAGAAGAGGAGTTTTTACCATCCGAAATTAAAAAAATTGAAGAAGATGTCAGAAACTATGGTTTAAATTTAATTGTTTTCGCAGATTGGTACAACGCAGAAGTAATGAAAATGATAGAGTTTTATGACGAAAATACCCAACAACTTTGGAGCCCAGCTACTGGTGGTGCTAATATTCCCGCACTTAATGACTTCCTTTCTGTATTTGGTATTTATTTTGGTGACAGTATTTACAATGGTGAAGTAGTAGTTGGTGAAAGAGTAGCCTCTGTTTCATCTGGCACATCAATTATTGGTTTCCCAGCAGGTGGTCAAATTCTTGAAGCCTCCCTAACCGATTTAACTCGTCTAATTGTCAAAGGTAGAAATTCGCAATCAAAAGTACCAATTTTAGGTTTCTTCCAACCAACAACAATGGAAAATGATGATCTTGAAGATAGTAGTAATGATTCATCATCATCGTCATCAATAAACAGCAAATCACAATCAAGCAACGAACCAAGCGATTATGGTGTTGACAGTAGCAGCACACCAAGTGGTAGTGTAAGTAATAATGAAATTAAAACACCCAATAGAAACTCGATGAAAAAATCCTCTCAAAAGAATTTAATAAATAAAAACTTGGAATTATCAAGCGAGTCCCCAACTATTTATCAAGCAGGTCAAGTTGTTGTATTTGGTGATAGCAATTGTTTAGATGAAACTCTTCAAAAAGATAATTTTGATTGCTATTGGTTAATTGAAGATATTTTAAATATTCTTAAACAAGGTAGTCCCTCCATTCCAGATTTTTTCCCAAGTATAGGTACACTCCATAGACCACTTTTACCAATTTCAAAATCATTAAAGAAACTCGAACTCCCAATTAGATCAACCGATGAAGGCTCATTAAAAGAAATGAAAAAGTATTCAAAAGTTATGAAAGACTCTTCAACCTCGTTGGCCCAAACCTGTGGTAATCACATTCATCCCGGTCAATTCCCTCAACCAAATTGGTCCCATTTAGATAAATATATTAATATAACATGGTCTGAAAGAGATAGAGTAGTACCCTCATTGGTAATTCCAAATACCCATAATCGTAGTGATTATTCCAATGATGACATCTCTTCACAATATGCAATCTCTGGTTATATTGCTATTTGCGCCGTTGTAATCTTTATTATTGTAATGTTTTTCAAAAACAAATCAATCAACAGTAGAAGAAATAATCAAAATGGTGCTGGAACAGTTTCTATAATGCCACCAAATACACTTTTAACCTCAACTTCATTACCCTCATCACCCTCGATGACTTCGGCTAACTCCACAACAATACCACTACTTAAAAACTTCTCACCAACCCTTAAATCCGAAGATGCCACTGTTTAAAATAATTTTCAAAAAATAAAAATAAACACAAATCAAACGATCAACACAATTAAATGTGTTGTTTGACACAATTAGGTGTGGTTTTTTTTTTAAAATTTTAATTTTCATTATTATAATAATTTTTATTTTATTTCTTTTATTTAAATTAATTGAAAAAAACAAAAAAAGAAAATAAGAGCTTTAAATATTATTTGTTTGTTTATTATAAAAGCAGATCTTCGATGGGCCTTGGTTACAAAAAAAATAATAATTTAAAATAAATCAATTAAAAATAAAAAATAATTTAAAAAAAATAAAATTAAAAAAAAAAAGATATTTATTTTTTTATTTTATTTTTTTTTTTATTTTATTTTTTTTAATAACTTTTTAAAAACATAACACATATACAGCTCAGTTTTTAGTTTAATTAATTTTAATACAATAACCTTAACTTATTTAAATTTCTCTTTTGTACATTATTCTTTTTTAAAAAAAAAGTTTATTCATAAATTTTATTTGTACATTTATAAATATATATATATAAATTATTAATAATAACAACAGTCGATATAAAAATAACTCATATAAATTCATCAAAAATAATAAACATAGTGTAATATATAAAAAGTAGCAGGTAATAAACACTAGTATTTTTTGCAATAGAGGATAAATTAATGTGGTAGATATATAGAAACTATACCCCACTCAATAAAAACACACATTAACCCACTATCACCACCACAAAAACCTACATTGTTATAGATACATTAATAACAACACTCACACACACTTTTTTTTAAATAAATATTTTTATTTAATTTTTATTTTTTTAATTTAATATAATTAGACAGACTTATATATTCTTTTTTTATTTTACATATAAAACAATATAATAATAATAATTATAAATAAACACCACTTATTTTTGTTTTTATTCATACCAATATTATTATAAACCAACACTTATAAATTCAATATAATAAATTTATTTTTTTTAAGTTGTTATCCCTCTGCATCAATAACAAATCATCATCATCATTAGTAATTATAATCAATTAACAAAATAAAACACAAACACATAAAAAAACAAAAAAAAAAAAAAAACTTATATTAAATTAAATTAAATTTTTAAGCTAAACATACAAACATTTAAATATATTTTTAAACTATATAGCTTTTATTGTATTGTGTGTGGGTGAATTTAAATCTGTACATTTTAGCATTTATTTTTATTTTTTTTATTTTCTTTATTTTTGTTTTTATAATAATTCAATAATAAAGAAAAAAAAAAAAAACCTATATTTCATAATAATAATAATTATTATTATTATTATTTTATTTAATTCAATTTGTTTATAATTATTTTTTTCAACATTTTATTTTTATTTTTATTTTTATTTTGGTAATATATTTAATATTTTGTTTAATATTTTTAATATAAGAGTTCATATAAATGTTTTTTTTTAATCATTAGAAACTCTTCTTTCTCTTTTTACACACCCACATACACACAACATTAATTTTTTATAAATAAACTATTTATTAATTATCTCTTAATAAATTAATTAATAGCTATCAATTAGTATATCAATTTAATAAATAATTAATTATTTTAATAATAGAAATAAAATATACAAATAATAAAATAACAAATTTATTTAGAAAACCATTTATAACATTAATTTAACAAAAACAAATTATTTCGATTATCAATACAATTATAAAACCATATTAAATATAATAACATTAGAAAAACTAGATAAGAAACAACTAATAATAATAATAATAAAATATTAATATTAAAAAAAACAATAACAAATTAAAATAGAAATCGGTGAATAATTATATATTTAAATATTAAAATAATTTTTTTTCAAATATATATTATTATTTTAATATAGAAACTATATAAAATGAAATTTGGTAAAAAAAAAGAAAAAGATAATGAAAATCTAGGTGAAAATGTGAATGAAAAACAAGAAAAACCTGAAAAGAAAAAAGAAAAAAAAGAAAAACAAGGAAAAACAAAAAAGAAAGATGAAGTAATAGAGAGTGCACCAACAAAAAAGATTTTTGGCGGATCATTACCATTTTTATATGAAGAAGAGTTACCAAGTATTTTAGTTCAATGTATAGATTATTTAGAATGCTATGGTTTACAAACTCCTGGTATATTTAGAGAAAATGGTTCATTATCATCAATTCAAAATTATAGACAAATGTTTGATCAAGGTAAACCTGTACAATTTCCACAACATGAAGCCCATGTAGTTGCTTCACTTTTAAAAGCCTACCTTAGAGAACTAAAAGACCCATTGTGTACTTTTGAACACTATGATATGTTTGTTGCTTGTGAATGTAGGTATTAATTTATTTTATAAAAAAAAAAAAAAAAAACTTATTAACATTTTTGAAATATAGCAATTTCTGACGAAAAGGTTAAAGTTGAGCTACTTAAAAAAGTTATTACACATTTGCCACCATACAACAGAAAAGTTTTTAAATATATTTGCTCTTTCTTATTAAAGGTTGTTGAAAACTCTGAAGTCAATAAGATGTCCCCTGATGCATGTAAGTTTTGGTTTTTAAAACACCCCTCAACTATACAATACCACCATTATACTAATGATATAATTTAAAAATTTAGTGAGTGTTGTATTTCTACCAACAATTTTAAGACCAAAAGCAAATACAGATTTAGAAATTTTACAATTTACTGTGGAGGATTCAAAATCAACCAAAACTTTAATGTCCAGTATTTTATTAAACTATGAAGAAATTTTTGAAGATCCAACTCTATTCCAACCAAGAAGAGCAAGAGCACAAACTGATTTTGTTTCACCTTCATCATCACAAAATTCAACTGCATCAATGTTATCACAAAAAGCAGCATTAAGTCCAAGATCACCTGCCCAAACCTCACCAAACTTTTCACCACAAAACACACCAACGCTTAATGGTGGCAACTCCAATAGTTCCCTACCAACCTCATTACCACAATTAACACCAATTTCAACAGCACCATCAAGTACAATCTCTGCATTGGTTGATCTACAACAATATAAACAACCTTTACCACTACCACCATTATCATCCTTACCACTACCACCACCACCACAATCAAATAGTTCAGCAGCACCCCCCTCAATTGGTAGCATTTTACCACCACCACCACCATTACCAAATAAGAAAGATTGTAAAATTAATTTAAACAATTATAATTTATTACCAAATCCAAATGCAAATTCAAATAGCAATCCAACCATCTTACCACCAATAGAATCTAACCCAGCTCCAATTGCCATTCCAGTTACAGCTATAGAAACAAAACAAGACAATAATTTAACACCGACCAAACAAGACAATTTACATAACAATATTTCACCAAGAAATGGTAATAATTTACCTGCATTACCACCAAAACCTCCCTCGTTAACACTTCCAACATTACCACCAAAACCAATTCCAAAAGTTCCAAATTCAAATATTTTCGATATCGAGAATGTTAGACAAAGGTCAAATACAACATTTGTTTAATGTGTAAAAAGAGGAAACAAAGAAAAAAAAAATTTTGTTTATTAATAAAATAATTATAATATTAGTTTTTATAATTTATTTGAAATAAATTATAATTTTGTTATTTATTTAAAAAAATAAAAAATATTATTCGAATTGTTTATTTTTGTTTGTATGTAATATTATTTGTTTTATAATATTTATGTTTGTAGGTGTATATATACAATTTATTCGCGCTATTATTACTATTATTATAGTTTATGGTGATAAAACTTCCAAAGGTACTTCACCTAATGAACTTGTTAAAAAATGATTAAAAATTTCGCTTGGGAATTCTCTACCTTCTTTTTGGCCATCTAAACCATTTTTATGACAAATATAAATATAATGACATTGATTCATTTGAGATTTAACAGTAGCACCACCCATTCTCATAGTGACGGTCCAATTGTGAATTGATTTTTCTAAGATTGGTAATCTTGATTCTGGTGCACCGTATGTCATTACAATAAAGAAACCACCTGGTTTTAATACTCTTGAAACTTCTAAACAAATTTGTTTTGCATTGTTATTGTCATCATCGCTACACATGACTGCATCCAATGTACCCTTATCGAAAACTTGGTCAAATAAACTGTCTTGAAACTCGACCATGTTTCTACCATCCATTGTAAGATACTCTAAACCAACTTTTCCTTTGTCAAGTTCCTTCATATATTCGATTAATGGTTCTGAAAAATCAATGTTTATAATATCGCTATATGAATCTGAATACATTTCTGAACCCAATTTACTATTACCACAACCGATCATTAAAATTTTATCTTGTTTTTTCATAAATTTGTTTAAAAATCCTTTTAAATTTTTATATCCATGGTACCAATCAAAATAAATTCTACCATCTTTTTCTTCTATATATCTTTGGTCCCAATATTCTCTTTCACCGTAATCTGTATAAAGCCATTTAAAAAAATTATAATACTATTAATATAAATTTTTTTTGTTTTTTTTTTTTGTTTTTTTTGACCCACCAAATTAAAAAATAAAAATAAAACTAAACAAAAAAAAAAAAACAAGAAAATATTCAAAGACTATTGTTTCATACCTGGCATTTTATTTTATTTTTTTTATTAAATAATAACAATAATATAAATCTATATATTATATTAAATTTAAATTAATAGTACAATTTGTATATTTAAAATAATAAAAAAAAAAATAAAAAAAAGGTGTTTTAAATAAAATAAAATATTTAAAAATTAAAAAATAAAAAAAAACGAAATTTTTTTTTCCCCAGTGGAAGTTATCGATCATATAAATAATTAAAATTATATTTTTAAAGAAAAGTTAAAAGTTAATTTTTTATTTTATTTCGTTTTTTATAATTTAAATTTATTGCATCTTAAAAAATACTTAAAATCCATTATTAAATTTATAGTTAGAGTTTATAGTTTATTTAAATTAATTCGAGTATCGTTTTAATTTTTTAAAAAAAATTTTTTAAAAATTTTTTTTAAAAATTGGAAATTAACGCACAGACGTCTTTTTCAAAAAATAACACACACATAAAGTGCTATATATCAAAAGCCCATTCTTAAAAACAATAGGGCCAAACGAGCAAAAAATTTTAATTTTTTTTTTTTTTTTTTTTTTTTTTTTATATTATCGCAGTGTGTGTATCCTTTTTTTGATTTTTTAAATATATTTATTTTTTTTATATCCATTTAAATTAAATATTAATCTTTTAAATTATTTAATAATCTTTTTTAAATTGAAATGATAAATTAATTATAGAATAAAAAAATCAAAATCAAAACAATTATAAATTTTTGTAAATCCCAAAGACTAAAAAAAAAATTTTTTTTTTTTTTTTGAATTTTTTTTTAAAAATAAAATTTTTTAAATTGAAATATTAGTAGTTGTTTTTAAGATAATAAACAGGAGAAAGAAGGTGCAAA